TATGACATTGCTGGGACACACGGTGGAGAGGAAAGGGTAAGTCTGAGCCAGAGAGTTAAGGACATTCTACAAAGAGCAACAAGAAAGGCTGTAAATTTGGGAAGCCACAGGATTAAATCCACATGAGAGATCTCTCTCTGATGATGACTGTCAGGCCACATAAGAGATAAAGACTTGGGATTAGGGAGGTGACGAGATGCCAGAAAGAGGCTGGAGGAAAAATTGGGCATGAGGAATGGGAGGTAGAGGGTTCTATGGGAAATCTGGCTAAGGTTACTGGGTAGATGCCCTTGCTCTTCATGAATGCATGAAAAGCAGAGAACAATAAGGACCACAGCTAAGTGCCCAAACCCTAGAGGTCAGCTATAACTCACAGATGTCACACAGGGCAGGCTAATAACTGCTCAACAACCCAATATAAATTCACTGACACTAAATTATTTGGAATATAGATTCATAATCCTTCTACAACAACATACAGCCTTGAGTCAAAATACAAGGCCTTGAATCAAAAGGACTGTCTCTGAATAAAAGCAGAAAAGTCCTTCTTGGAAACGTGGTTTTGATCTATCTTTGAAACAACCTTGTACAGTTTGTACTAATCTTGAAAAATATTTTAAATAGCAAAGCTGGAAAGGACCTTAAAAGTCTTGTTCAACTCTAATCTAAGGAATGAAATCATCTCAGCTCAGCAAAACTTTGTACAAATCTGATGACTTCCAATGTGAGAAGCAGAACCTAGGCTCCTGCCCTCTGCCTGGAGATCTCTAGAAGAGCCAGATGTGACCTGCTGGAAGAAGGTCAGGACCAGAGGAGGCTGAATCCACCCTGCAATTCACTACTTCAAAGAAAGAAAAGCAGGTCCTAGCTAACCTGGGCTTCTAAGAAGTTTTTCAAATGCCAGGAAACCTAAGAATTAACTTCAGATTCATAATTTATATAATCACATTAATGGTTAATGTTTTCTGAATGCTAATATCACCTTAAGTGAAGAGAGAAACGGTAAAGAGCATTTCTCTATGGTCTATCCCTTCTACAATTTTCATTTTATTATAGACACAAAGGCTTCAAGAATAAATGGTGTGGGTATTGAAATGACTTAGGTTCCATCTCCAATTGAGGTAAGGATCACAAAATACTTATTCTGCACACAAATTTTACTCATGGTATAAAGATGATAACTAAAATAATTTTTCTTGTTTGCAGTAAAAAGAATGGGAAGTAGAGGAACTATATCATTCACAGGCTGAAGCTGGAGTTCAGTTGGAGGTAATGAAATTAAGAATCCATTTAAGTCAACTATTTAGCAAACTGATAAAATAATTTAAATAGAAAATGTTTAAATATCTAAGAAATATAATGGATAATTATCATAACTTATGCAAAAATGTAAGCTAAGTCTTAATAACTTGTATCTATGGCTGAGAAGGACACTGAAAGGAAGAGCCAAGAGGATTTCACCTCCTTCTGCCCAAAGTATCACTGTAATTGTTCAGTAATGTTATACTAACAGAAGACCATGAAAGAAACAGCAGCAGTATCACCAGCTGTGACATAATGGCCAACTAAGCCCAAACACTAAACACAAGGATGCCTGGATTCTTAGTACAGGCTATAAAACCCATTGAGAATACTATAGAAGTCATTCTGCCAGAGATTTTAATTTATTCTAATGAAATATAAGGAGAGAAGTATATGTATGTTGTCTAACATTAAAATAATAATAATATCCTTATATATACTAAAGAAGGCAAGTTAGGAGCGTTTTGATGAATCAGAACAATATTATATCAACTGATTATATAAAGTGAGATAAGTAATCTACTAAAACACTGTGGCTATTCCTGGGAAGAAATCTGAACATTTCTCTCTTTATTTAATTGGTTACAGTGTTTGCTATTGGCTGAGAAGGGCCTTTTACAAAGCCCACTGATTATATTTCTTAGTATGTATGTATATATAGACAGACAGACAGACAGATAGATAGATAGATAGATAGATAGATAGATAGATAGATAGAGATAGATAGAGATCAGAGGATCTTGATCCTGGATCCTCTTGATAACTCTTTGAAAAGTAATCTTCCTCCCCTCTTTATTTTGCAGGAGACTGAAGTTTGGAAAAATCAGCCAAATTCATCAGAAATTCTAAGGCAATTAATACTTCAGTTCCTAGAATGGGGTTCCCAAACTGTTGATCTGATCAATTGTGCAAACAAATATTGTCTAGAATAGTTATCACAGCCTGAGTTAGCAATTGGTTATTATATTTACATTTTGCTCAATGATTAATTACACTACTGATTCAGTATTTTTACAAAAAATTAGTGTATGGGTGACATTATCAAAGTGACCTAGTAAGTTTACCAATCAGCTGGTGATCTATATACAGTTTTTTCCATTTTACTTTAACATTAAAAATGTAATCTTCAATATTGCTTGGTGCTATGGACGGACTATGTCCTCCTAAAATTCCCATGTTGAAGTCATAATCCCAAGGTGATGGTTTTAGGAGATGGGGGGTCTTTGGTGAGGTGATTAGCTCATAAGGACAGAGCTGTCATTTGTGGCCTTGTAAAAAAGACCACAGAGAGCCACCTTGTCCCCTTTACTATGAGAGAATATAGCAATAAGGCTGTGTCTATGGGAAATAGACCCTCACTTAACACTGAATCTGTTGGCACATTGATCTTGGATTTCCTAGCCTCTAGAAGAGTGAGAAACAAATTTTTATTGTTTATAAGCATTTATAATAGTTTATGGCATTTTATTATAGTAGCCCAAATGGACTAAGACACCTAAATTCAGAGTGTTGTCCCAAGTCAAACATTGGGGAGGACTTGGGGGAGAATGGTGATCTAGAGTCATGGCCTGACTCTTTCAGACATTGAAGATGCTGAAGTGCTGGGGGTGAGTACTCTCCAAACCCTTCAGCATCAATCCTTGCAAAATTGGAAGGTTCTCCTTCACATAGCAGACAGGACAGTAAAAATGGACATGAACTAAAAAATAGGTACTAGCAACGTGCTGTATCTATAAGGCATAAACAAAGAATTGTGGTTGAAATGAACAACAGTTGGGGTGACTGTTCTTATCTCTTCCTTTTATTCCATTCTCTTCCATGGCTTCAGGTTCTCTGTACACTAATCAGGACACAGAGGGTTCTCTCATCCAGAATCTTCACTAAGTTTTGTGTATCTGAACTGCAAGTATCTCAGAGGAGAAAGGAAATGTGTGTGGGCACTGTGGCCAGGGGTACTGAGGGTACTGACACCCTCTTGGATAAGGCACAGTTACTATCGGGCAAGTAAAATCCTCAAGACTCAGTACTGCCAAGTGAGCACTTGCCAGTGTTTACTTTTTACCCCCTTTTAAACCAAAGGAATTCCAGATGTTGCTTTTAACATTAAAGGAAAATTTAAACTCTGGCTGAGTCTCTCCATGTCTTACTACCACTCTCATATCCACAAATAACCCCATCCTCTCCCTCGGTAGGGCTTTAAATAGTTTGTTTTAAAAAAGTCATACACAGAGAAACTTTGTCAAACTAGGACCCAAACCAAAGTCATTACCTCCAGCGAGTCACTTTCACAGTCTCCTTCCTCTGCGCCTCTCCCCTTCTCTTCGGTAATGGTGTTCACCATTTCAAAAAACCTGCAGAGAAAGTTGGCATCTTTAAAACACATATAATAATAAACACACCTGCTCCTTCATGTATGAGAGGGCAACATCCTGAAAAAACCATCCTTCAGTTGAAAATGCATTTAATGTACCTAACCTGCCAAAAATGCTCGCTTAGCCCAGCCTACCTTCAGTGTGCACAGGACACTTAACATTAGCCAAAAGTCAGGCATCACCTAACGCAAAGCCTATTTTATAACAGTATTTAACATTTCACATAATTTATAGACTAACTGTATCCAAAAACCTCTAGCAACACTGTGCACAGCACAGCACCATTTGGTCACCCTGAAGACTGGGATTGACTAGGAGCTGGGGCTCATGGCTGCTGCCCAGAATCGCAAGACCACCATATGGCACATT